GCGTATTTGGTTTCGTATGGGACTTCATTGACTTATACCCTTTCTATGGGCACTCTCGTTCGTAGTGTAGCCAGGGTGTTGCCAACCTTGGGTAAGGTATAGGATGCGCATAAACGCAATACTCCCCCCTGAACGAAGATCGGAACATATGCAATGGCTTCACTGGGCATCGCAGCCCAAACCTACTCGCACCATGCGTGGAACAGGGCATGGGCTGGACTCGAGACACATCGTGCCGAATGGGAGTCTGGGACAATATGCCTGGTGGTGAATCAGATGGAGAGTGAGTGAAAGAGAAAGGGTTAGTTCTGGCGCGTGTCTCAAAGCTTCTGCCTCTTGGCATCGCCACACTGATACTGCATACCCCGCTTCAATGATTCAAGATCGGGGGAGCAAAACAACTGGTCATTCTCATCCACGGCCTTAGTGTTATACAATATCGGAACGCGGACGGCGTGCTCCGCACTGGCGCAGGATGTCACTTTGCCAGCGCCGTCCGAACTGACAGAGGCAACGGTCGGGACCACGCACCTGGCCATGTTGGCAATCTTACTATCTGGGACTACACCCACAAACCAAAAAGGGATCACATATGGTGCCTGGGTGTACACGAGGGGCGTGTTGCCACTCGCACTTGCCACATCAATCTTAGGGTTCAGCCACAGCTTTACATGCTTGCCTGAAGCATCTGGAGCAGTAAGGTCCAGAAGCACACTTGAACTGGGGACTGCGCTCCCCATGCCGATGTTGGGCGCGAGGGGGATCAGAACTCGCTCGCCTTTCTCGCACCGTCGAGAAGCGCGCGCTGTAGATTGCATCTTCGTTCCAACTACTGTGCGAACATACGCGCGCTGTGACGTGGAATACATGCCCCGCGCATCATATAGCGCAGCCTTCACCCTGGACTTGATGAGGTCTGCGGCAAAATCCTTGTGCTCCTGCCACCCCCGTGGATGAAGAAACATGCAGACCATGTGCAACAACAGCGCGACTACAACTACCTCTGTGTTCGGCGCCGCAGATCCAACGATACACGACACCTGCACTAGAAATCACAATTCGACTGCAACGCGAACGCTTCAATGCAAATATGACAACCCCCACCCTCCAATGGCGAAGGCATTTGCGTCGGGTCGTACGTGTACTCCCTGAACACCTCATTCACCTGGGAGCGGCGCGCGCGGGAGGGCGTCCAGCCCAAACCCATGCAAAGTATACGCATAGTCATTAACACCAGGCTCGCATTGTGCGTTCGATTTCCCACTCACTCGCCAACGGCGTGTTTTTGTGACACACTCTAGGGGGCAAGTCGGTATTTTGAGGCTGTATCACCTTCGGGTGCACGCGTATGCTTATATATAATATGTGTGGGTGCAAGTATTGCCGTTGTTCGCATACCTACGCAAATGCGATGTCATCGGCAACTCAGCGCTGGGAGGTAGGCGTGCCACGGGATCACATCACATGTTCACATACGTGCCACTGCGTTGCAAGGAATTGTAAGGTATATGCCAAGCGTCGTGTACTTCTGTTGTGGTGAAGTGTCTCGTGTTGTGCGTTGCTAGGTGTGCGGTGTGAGCTTGGGTTCTATGCAATGCCATGCCATGCTCTGGTGTGGTATGATGTACGCTGCGTGTATGATGTCAGATGGATACATAGTGCTCGTGGTGCATGTGCATGCTGCCACATATGCAGCCGCAACGCACACATATACAAGACAAAGAAGCGATGGCCTTCCACTCGTCCTGCATGGCGGCTGCTGGCACTCGAAGCCCCGATTGAGGTGCCTTAAGTAAAACCTTGATCGGAGGGGCGCCAGATTTCTTCCGCAATTCAAAATGATGACCCACAGCCTCATCAATGACATACACATCTGGCGAACCACCTCGTTGCTGTACTTCTGCGCCCTTCACGAAACCCAGCTGCGCGAGCTGGTCACACGAGACGGTGCCGCTGGAGACGTGAACCAGGCCCGATGGTTGGCTCGATGTCTGCTGGATCTCAGTCGCGACGTCAACGTGCGTCCACTTGTTCGGGAGCTCCTTCATCTTTAAATCGCTGTCAAGCTTGAAGCACTCGGTGAGGAACTCCTGCTGGATGCTATCGAATGTCCAGGCCTGCTTGCCCTTCGGGGATTTGCCATGAATGATCATAATGCACTTGAATTCAAAATTGCCGAGAAGCCGCGCCCTCTGAGCTGGGGTGAAAGATGGAGCGTGCGTCTCGAACCACTTCCAAATGCCATCACACCACTTCACAGCAGTGGTGCGCGCAGATTTTTTGGAGCCAACCACAGCTGACAGATCAGTTGAGTTCAACATGCGGGAGAAGCCGTCTCTGACAAATGATTCTGGGGCTGCCCACAACGCCTTCACCATCGCAACTAGGTGCGATTGACCCTGTACCCAAGATACATCAGCTATCATCCCAAACAGCTTGTGCGGCACAACTCTCCGAACTTTCAGAGTGCTGTAGTAGAGCTCTAGGTCGCGTATGTGTTTTCCATCTTCACCGCGGAGTTTACATGCGAACATTGTCATAGATCGAACTTGGCCTTCCAAGGCTGGCCTGGTGAATTCTATCAGGTTCACCACGCTGTCCACATCAACATCTGAACTTCCATCCTTGGGTGGTGCTTTGAACCCATGCCCCTTCCACGAGCATCAGATGCGCGCGGCCCTCCGACCACCGAGTTTCACACATGTGTGCACATATATATATATATATATGTATGCAGATTTATACATGTGCGTATTCACCGAAACCCGATCGCCGCGTGGAGTGGTCGGGGTTCAAGCCACCGCCCCAGCCTGAATTGACGCACGAACCATACCATCGATTTGAAGCAGCGTTGCCGCCTGTGTTAACTCATTCTCCGTACCGTGCCCTGCGTTCCCACACATCTGAAGGAACGTCGCGAGTGCTGGGATCGCTGAGTCGACCTCCCATTTGATCACAAGAAATTTTACTCCACGTTGTAAGGGAACCGAATAACTCTCACACATAGAAACGATCCGTTCCTCTGAAATATGCCCGTCCAGCGCTATATCCACAACGTCGGTTTTGCAACCAGCCTTGATGCATTTGAGGCCGTACATAGTGCGGCCGCATGCCACTGCGAGGAACTTCATATCATGGTTTTTCGGCGCTGGCGGGAGATAACCCTCGGCCCTGTCGTGTAATTTCTTATTGAACTCAAGCTGCTGCAGACCAGCTGCACCTGGGGCCCGCTCGAAGCACCGAGGGTGTTTGACTTCGCTGTCCAAGAACCCTTGTCTCATTATTTTCTTGATCAACGCATGGCAGTGAGGCACATCTACCCCAGTCGTCCATCGGTTTTGAGGGTGAGCCCATACATGTTCGGGACACACCGTTTGCCAATACGCCAAACCATTACTAAGCAATTTGTCACATACTTGATCTGCAATCGCCCTACATTGTTTTCTCTCACCGTGAGTGGCGTCTGAAATCGCTGCATTGATCGAAGGCACAAGTGTATCTAGCACCTGACGGATCTCAGGATCAATCTCCATATCCTCGCACAGAAAAGGGTTGAGCCGAAACGGCTTCGGTGGGAGAAAAGCAAAGTGAACTTACATATCGTGTTTCCATCCTGCTTGTATCCTGGAAATAACCAGGTTGTATCCTGGATATATCTTGACTTACTAAGTTCACTAAGTTGGATAGCCTAAGTCGGCTAACCTGCATACGTAACCACCCCAACAAGCTTAAGCATGTTAGCGATAAGCTCATTAGTAACTTCAGAGCTGGATAGTCAACATAAGTAACATCGCCATCCGCATAGCCAGAACATGTATGTACATACGGCGCATATACATACATATACGTAACTCAGACATAACTCATACATTACATATTGCTTACATATAAGCATATATAAATTCGCTATGTACTTAGCAACCAGGGCCACGATCCAAGAAGAAGCCTCCAAGACGGTCCAAGAGGGCCCCGAGACGGCCAAAGATCGCCCGAAGACGCCCAACAGGGCCCCAAGACAGCCCAAGAGGCCTCCAAGACGCCCCAAGGGCCTTCCAAGAGGCCTCCGAAGAGGGCCCCAAGAGGCCAAAATCGTTGATTTTCATTGTTTTTTTGTATGTTTTTTGCGTTCTGGCTTTTTCGGCTTCCGGACGCTCCAAGACGGCCCAAGAGGCCCCCAAGACCGCTCCAAGACGGCCCACGAGGCTCCCAAGACGGCCCCGGAACGGCCCAGGAGGGCCCCCAAGACGGCCCAAGTGCCGCCCAAGACGGACCAAGAGGCCCCAAGACGGGCCCAAGAGGGGCTCAAGAGGGGAACCGAGAACTGAAAAATCGAGCCCTCCGCCCCAGAAGGCGCCCAGGAGGCCCCAAAAAGGCCCCAAGAGGCCCCCAAGAGGCCCCCAAGACGCCCCAAGAGGCGCCCAAGAGGCCCAAAAGAGGCCCCAAGAGGCCCAAAAACGGCCCCCAAGAGGCCCCAAAACTCGGCTAGCCCACAACGGTGCGACAATATGGGCCTGCGGAATGAGCGAAGCGATTAAATAAGAAAACGATCACCGTGTGACGATGGCCATCAGCTTGTTTCCTTGCGAGGGGGACCTCTGGGGCACACAAGAGCTAGGGACACCACAGTGTGCCTGCATTAGCGTGAAAGACCTGATGGGAGACATCCACGGCGTGCTGCTTGTCGATGCAGATGCGCTCGAATGTGCAGGAGTCGAATGAGCGAGGAGAAACCTGGGTGAGGGGATAGGGGTGAGAATGAGGAAAAGCGAGGATGAGCATGATGATAAGAGCAAGAGGATCAGGAGGATGAGTCAAAATCGTAGGAGGACGATGTGGGAAGATGAAAGGGGAGAGGGATGAGGGAGCAGAAGGCAGAGAAGGCGAAGGATTGGGAAGAGGTGGAGGAGCAAGGATGAGGGAGTAGGGATGATGGGGAGGGAGTAGGAGGGAGGGGTATGGAGGAGGAGGAGGAGGAGGAGGAGACGGAGGGAACTCCAGGCCTCGCGCTTCGTTAGTCTGGTGGGCAAGGCCGGCGCGAACGAACTCGCCAGGAGCACCAATGTGGTGGAAGTGCGGGATCTTGCCATGGGCGGTCCCTGCAGCCTCCCAACATACAATCTGAATGGCTATGGTCGTCGTCGTCACCCCTCCGCGCGCCCTTCCTCCTCCTCCTCCTCCTCCTCCTTCTCCTCCTCCTCCTCCTCCTCGCGCTCGTGCTCTCGCTTCTGGTCCTCCTCCAAATCCTCCTCAACCCTACTCCGTTGCTCGTGCTCATGAGTATCCTCCTCCTCCTCGTCCTCCTCCCTCTTCCTCCGTGCAACTTCCCATCATAAAGCCTCAACCGCTACGGCGGAGATTATAGGATCATTATTAAGTCCCGACTGCCCGAACGGCTGGGCGGCTTCACGCGCCCCAACCAGCTCCAGAACCACGGCAGACCCCTAATCAGACCAAAAGAACACCTTCAGCGGGTTCCCGAATCACGCAACATAACTCATGATCCTGTTTTGCTTCGAATGAACTCGGTATACCCGCTTCTTCGGTCTGCTGGGTGTCCGAGGCCGCTCAAGAGGCACCCAAGCGCGCCCCAGGACGGCTTCAAGAGAGACCAAAGAGCCCCTAGACCGCCCAACGGGGCCCAGGCCGGCCCCAAGAGAACCCCAAACCGGCCCGAATAGGCACCAACACACCCCCAACGGCTTGGCAATAGCCCCACGCGGCTACAGAACCCCACCAGACCCTCAAGACAAAGGCCCCCAAACCCAAATCATTCACTTTCCATCGTCGCTGACATATTTTCGGGCACGCGCTTCTTCGGTCCTCCTCCTCCGGGCGTCCGAGACAGCGCAACGGGCCCTCAAATTCACCCCGAAACGCGCCAGAAGAACTCCGAGACGGCCCTGAAGAGCCCCACGACACCTCCAAGTTGGCCCCAAGGCAACTCAAATGGCTCCCCAATCAGCCGTGCCAATCCCCGAAGCACGCGACATCGTGACCTGGTCTCTGCAGGGATCCGCATGTGGCAATGAGGTGGCACCAATAAGCCCCCGGGGCCGCAACAGTGGGACCCCCCCCAGGCCCCGCCGACTGCCATCTGAAGCCCATGGCGACCACGACCCGCCCTCGGCACACCACGACAACTACTCAAGTTGCGACTATGTCCCAGACCTCCGTCATTTCAGTGGGCGCCACGACATGCACAAAGAACTCTCACGGTCCCCCCTCTCTCGGCAGGCAGCCAGGGCGTCGGTGACGTGTGAGTGCATATCCCAGGCGACAGTGTCCGCTCACGCCCAGACGCCGCAGACGCTTCTGATAAGGCAGGCTTCAACATATGTTCCTCATCCTGGGCGCACGTCGCGATAGTTCGTATCGGAATTCTGTCAGCTCCTCGTGCCACTCGTCATTATGATGGGGCCCAGCGCTGTGCAAGGACAAACGACCAACATTTAGGCGGGGTGACGCGAGCCCTCAAATACTGTGTACGCTATGTGTGTATATATATAAACATAGTAAGTAAGTGCGCATGTGCCTAAGCTCCGCACTTGCTGGTAATAAAAAAGGGGGCGCCAGGGATGCCTTGCGGGGGCTGCAGTGATCGAGCGCCAACAGAAAGAAGCCCGCCGCGGGCGCCAATCCTTTCAAACAAACTGGGTGGGTCGCGTGACGGGTCATCGGCGGGTCGCGGAAATCGAATGCCTGTTACAACAAGCCCGTCGCAGGTGCCGTCCTGAGCCCCCCTCAGGCGGCGAGTTCATTGCAAGACGCTGTGACAATGTAAGCGGGTCGCGGGGCGCGTCGTCGGCGGATCGCGGAGTTCGAATGCAAAGTCAAAGAAACCCGCCACGGGCGCCGGCTGTTCTTACACACAATGCCCGCCGCGTGCGGCGATTTGTTTGCAAGAATTTTGGTGGCTGGCGGGTGTACGTCGCGGGCGCGGTTGGGTCGCGGGTAAGTCGATGGCGGGTCGAGTGGGTCGTAGGTAGGCGACGACGGAAGCACCGATCACAACAACAACACCACCACCAACAGCAACATTAACAACATTAGCAACAACACCAACAACAACAACATTAACAACACCACTAACAACACAACCAACAACATGAACAACAACAACACCAACAACAACAACAAAAACGTTCTTCATTACTCACGTGGCATTCCACGTGCAAGCTCCAGACGCAAACCGTCTCCGTCTGTGACCGCAGCCTCTTCGGGCGACTCATTTGTTATGCAAGCTGCTGGGTGAACCCGACAAGGCAGACGGGGGCCGGGCGGTTGGAGCCTGACGGGGCGGGGCAGGCGGACCCTGAGCAGGCGGAGCGGGTGGGCGAGCCTCCGCGGGCAGGTCTCGGACGGGCCGAACATGAGAGCGGGCGGGCTTCCCAACCAAGCGAACGGGCGGACCCTCACAAGCGGGTCGGACTGGCCGAACATTCAAACAGGCCGGCTTACAACCGAGCGAGCGGGCGGACCCTGACAGGCGTGTCGGGCGGGCGAGAAACGAGAGCGGGCGGGTCGGGCAGGTGGGGCAAGCAGGCTTCAAAGGAAGCGAACGGGCGGACCCAACGGGCGGGTCGGTGATGGACTCGGCAAGTCGGGCGGCGGATCAGAACGGGCGAGCCAAGTGGGCGGATCCGAAAGGGCAGGCTGGGCGGCTAGCCGGCCAGGACATTCAAGCGCGAGTCTTGGGTAGGTCGAGAAGGAGTCTCGGGCGAGAGCGCGAGTCTTAGATGAGTTGGGAGGAAGTCCCAAGAGAACAGTGAATTCCTGATTGGCGAGAGCGCGATCCGCGTATAGCTTTTGGGGGAGTCCTCGGCGAGAGCACGATCCTGAGATGTTCTGCAGGGAGGCCTCGAGCGAGGGCGCGTCTTCCGAAGAGGCCGTGGGGAGAGCCCAGGCGGGGGCCGCTGCCGTTGTGGCCGCTGGCCCGGGGGCAGCCCGCTGGCCCGCAGGACGTTGCCCGGCGAACAGGGTGCGAGGGCCAGTGGGGCACACTGCCACTGGGAAGCGCAGGGGGCACTGGCTGGGGTGGACCAAATCAATGAATAGGGTGAGGGCGTTGGACGAAGAGCCGTTGGACAATCGGCAGTTCAAAGATGGGGTCCTGAGGGATGGAGTCATAATGACGAGGTGCCTCAAACAGCGTTCATCCACCCGTGGGCCCCTTCATTCCTCAGGACTCCCTCAGGACCCCGTCTCGAGATTTAGAAGCCGGCGGAGCCCCAACTGAGGCTTGGCCATGGATGTCACCGTCCGATGAGGGGGGCCATCCAGGGTCTGAAGCCGCTTGTGTACATTCCTTAACGAACGCCCCCGAACGCCCCCGCCGTACTCATCAGACGTGAAGATCCAAACACAATCCGCTCCGCGGAGCCCCACTTCGGCAACGCGTCCAGGGGCAATGCAGATCGCTCGGACCCTCACTCTGACATATAACTGCTCGCCGCAGTGCCTGCCTTGGGCACTGAGTGGAGTGTCCTCAGGTCGCCTGGGATACTCTGCGCTGAACATTAGAACGCTCTTTGAGGGCCAGGCCCCCAACGGACGGATGCTCTTGGGCGTGGCGCGTGACGCTCAGGCGAAGCCAGGAATCATTGGGCAATATTCTTAGCTGAAAGACACATGTGTTCGGCCCTGGGTGGGATGGGGTGGCCCGAACTGGCCTCCGAGCCCTCTTGTGCCAAGATGAACCTCGGGACCGTCAAGGGGCCATTAGAAGCGCCTATGAGGCCTTCAGGAGGTCCCAGGACGCCCCTGAGAGGTCCCACAAGGTCTCCAAGAGGCCTCCAACAGGCCCTCGATAGGCATCCCGCGATACCCTAAAAGGAATCCAAGATGACTTTGACCCAACACCCAGGCTCGGTGGCGTGATGGGCCGAAGGCTACTTCATATATCACGTTCTAAAGAATATGTAGCACGTCAACTAGACTGTACCAAACTTTTTTCCCAACATCTCTGGTGACCCTACCACATCGCGACTCAAAACGTCGCTAGGCAAACCCGGAACACCGCACATGCAAACCTGCAATAGGCAAACTCATGCTGTGAACCGTGACCTGGGCAACATACCGGCAGTACGGTTGCTCTGCATGCGTATGGACATATCCCCCCGCTCCCGAACGGCCAACGATATCCCCTGCACGCAGCGCCGAGAGGGGACCAATAAGAAGAGCGAGATGAGAGAGAGGCGAACGGGGAACGGGGGGGGGTGGGGAGCGACAGCCGGGCGGACGGTCCACAAGGAAAGCCAGCCTCGTGCGCGCGTAGGCCGCATCCCCCGAGCACTGCCAGAGGGGGTGCTCGCACAGACGAGGCCCTCACGGCCCTGACGGTGTGGCGCAGGGCCGCCCACCCAGAGAGAGAGGGGGGGGGGCCGAGTCAAAGGGGCGAGCACGACGTGCCGAGCCCGCCGGCGCTGCGCCGAAGAGCACGGAGGAGGAGGAGGATAATCAAAGCAGGAAGGGGCAGGAGGGAGGTGATGATGATGATGTGGTGATAGTATAGCGATGATGATGCTGATGCTGATGATGATGCTGATGAAGCTGATGCTGATGATGCTGATGATGCTGATGATGATGATGATGATGCTGACGATGATGAGAAGGATGATGCCAAACTCCTGGAGGGCCACGTGAAAAAGTTGAACAAATTGTAAACATCGTCTCAAGTATCATTCGCGAATGGCCAAGCAGATGCGATGAACAATGTGGAGCCGGACTTGGGGATGGGACAGGTGGACGGGAGGCTCCGAGAGCAAGCCGCCCCTGACGCCCCCAGGGCGGTGGGCGCCACCCCGATGCTAAGCCGTGTTGCGTCGGGGCGTATTTCGGCCGAGCCCGCCTGGAGGGCGAGCGGTTCTGTGCCACCGTCGTTGCGTGCGTTCCTCCCCTCTCCCCTCTTCCCTCCCCTCCCTTCCCCCCCCCCCCCCTTCCCTCCCCTCCCTCCCCTTGCCTCCCCGCCAGTGGGGAGGGCGGAGGAGGAGAAGAGCAGCGCGAGGGGAGCGGGCCCCTCAAACCAAGCACTCGTACCCCACAGCTCGTCCGAGGAATAATGTATAATGTTGCGCCCAGCATCGCCCTGGTGGGGCCCGTCGACATGCTCGATGATGAAAGGGTGTCGCAGATCAACGGGCTGGTGAGCG